TACCTACCTATCTATTGCGCTGCGCAAACATCGTCTTGAAAATGGACTAAAAAGTTTCAGGCGTGAATACTCCTTCCTCCGCAACGTTGGAAGCAAAACCCTAACCCTTCTTTCATCCTGGTCTTTCAACCCGTGCACGTACCCCACAAGAGAGAGCTCAACTGCTCGGCTTTGTACAAGCCTTACGTAAATGTCAGTAAGGTTACGCTCGATATTACACCAAACGGGAAGCTTAGCGGTGGAACTGCGAATCGCTCACCTTGGTTATCCACCCGCGTACGGATTAGTGAGTTCGCCGACAGAACATCGCGACTTTGGACGATTGCCCGCCGCCGCCACCCAAGTCAAACCAGAAGACCCGAATTTCGATGCACGCATCCATGGAGTTAGGGCAAGATCAACCCCGGCCCTGAGTCCAAACCAGTTTGGCTTTTCAGCCTCAACCATCTCAACTCGTCGTGACCGACAAACGGAGAGCCCGAGAAAACGGAGAGACATCACCATAATGGAGGCGCTCTTGAGCGCGACGCAGAACTCCAGCCACACCTGTGGCTCTGTCGCTGATCTCCGAGACAACCTGCGCGGTATCCTCAGCTCCAAGGTTACAGAGACGCGCGCAGAGCACGTGTCGCTTACGCTTGGCCTGCGTTCGACCACCATTTTCGACGTCCCAGTCTTCGAGACCGAAAGTGAAGCTTTGGAAAACGCGTCCAATATCGACCCACTGTTGGGAGGCTCGCGGTCCAGTGTTGCGCCCGTGTCGCAAGCGAATGACAGCCAACAGACACGCAAAATAAAGGCCATCGACACCTTGATCAACCAGCCCCTCGACGACCATGTGCTCCAGAACTCGGTCGCGAAACACATCATCTCGTCGCTGGGCGAGGTTGATGGTAGCAGCTGGACGGTGCGCCAGGTCTCGAGGAACGATCAGGGCTGGACATTCACACATATCTGCAAGCACTCACGGCAGGCATGGAGCCGACAAAACTCCAAGAACCCTGCCCGGATCACCATTTGCGAATGGAGCAATAAGGACGGACAGGACCCTGTGAATCTGGGTATGGGCTCTCCCCGCCCTTCATGGGTTTCTTCTTCTCGTTCATCCTACTAACAGTTTGCCAGGCCGTCCGGCGTTTGATTGTCGAGGCTCGGTGACGATTGCGTTTGTCAGGTCTACCAGGTCTATTGATGTGAAATACGATCACACGCCGATGCATAAGACGGTCAGCCAATTGATCGATCTGCTCATACCACCGCCAGAGGAGCCCGCTCCTGTGGTCAACAGAAGGGCAGCAAAGGAGCCCAAGGAGAGACCGCCGAGGCCGCCGAGGCCACCCAAGGAGCCAAAGTCGCTAAAAGAGCTAAAGGCTCCCAGACCACCCAAGACACCGAAATCCTCAAAGAAGCGTCAAGCAGAAAATGGGCAACAAGAAGGGGAGACCTCGCAGCCGAAAAAACGGTGGAAAAAGAAGGACTCTACTGCCGGTGCAAACGGCACTGTAGTACCTCCAGAGATGCCAGGCGCCCTGCCGGTTGGTCAAGACTCCGACCACCAATTATACAATACGACTACCCAGAGCTATGGTAACGATGGTCTGGGCGTTTCCGGCAGCTATGCCGAGGGCCTTGTGGGCTCTAGCACGGCCAATGGCGCCGGACCTCGTTCCAAATCGCAAGCTTCAGACCACGGCGGCGTCCACAGCCAGTCTATTCTGAATCTGCCTCCGGGAGAAGCGGCGAGACGGCGGGATGTGGCAATGAAACTCCTCTCCGATCAAGGTACTGACCCACAAACCCTATCTCCAGACCAATTCAACATATTTGCCAATCAGTCGTCTAAATTGCAGCATGAGTCGCTGGCGATGCTTGTTAAGTATGGAGCAGAGCGGCTGCACATCGTCCACCCAACTAAGAATGGGGAAATCACGAGCCAAGATGCTTCGGCAGGGTATGAGAGTGCAGCAAATCATGTGCCTGCTCTCGCTCCCGCTCAATCACAGTCAGCACCTGACGGTCCCTCGAAGATCAAGAAATCGCGAAAGAGGAAATCTGATCAAGCCGTCGAAGCTATAGTGTTTTCCGCGAACGCCAACGGGAAAGGGAAGGAGAGAGTGAGGTATACTCGAGGGGCTTGTGAGGGTTGCCGCTCGTCGAAGATGAAGGTTTGGTTACAATATCCGATACACCAACCTAAAGCGCTAACCAGATGTTTAGTGTGACAAGATCAAACCATCCTGCACACATTGTGTCACCAAAGGGTACACGTGCATTTACCCCGCTGCTAAACCAAGAAAGAGTCGAACCTCAGAAGCACTCTCGCAGGTGGTTATCGACGATGAGGAGGAGCAGCAGCAGCAGACGCAGCAAGAGCAGCAGCAGCAGCAGTAAACGCACGAGGCGAGAGAAGCAGAAACAGATGATGAACCAGAAGACCTGGGGTCGCCAGGGTTTCATACCGATCACGCCGAGTTTCCGCCTTCCCATCTTGTCTCGCCCCCTGTTCATTCCATGGACTCGCCATCAACGGCGTTTCCACAGACCCCTGATGTCTATGAGCATCCATCTGGCTTGAACTTCCCCCGAGCTGGGGCTACTTCATCCCAGCTTCGTCAGTCCACTGTTGCGCAGGTGAACTACATCCCACCCCGAGCTACGGAGACGTCGATACCGGAGTTCACTTACCCACCACCATCTGACCCAGCTCCATTGCAATACACAGAGCAGCCCGCACCTGCTGTTCAGCAGAATCATCAAGCCACGACCCCAGAGACGAGGGCGAAATCGAGACGCAGTCTTCCTTCTGGTCCCGCCGTGCAGGCCAATGCTAACAGTAATGGTACCACGCCTTCTCAATTAGAAAATGTTTGGCAATGCGCATCCGATTCTCCTTCCGCCGCAGCGCCACCCGCTACCAGGCGTTCACCTAGACAAACCAGGATTAGGGGTCAAGTTCAGGAGCCTCCTTCGATGGCTTATGATGATGCGCGCCAGGCTTCGAATTGGTCGATGGCATCTCAAACTCAAACCCAGACCCAGGCCGCGATGCCAAACTCTACTCAGCCTGTTCAGCGCTCTCCTTATCAGGACCCGGTCTAGCCATCCCGAGCCAAATCCCGGCAGAGCAACAGGGCTCAAAGCCATACACCAGTCCAGAGCATATCCACGGGCCGGCCGCCCCAGCTCAAGGCCAGCACACGACTGGCAACAATGCTGGATATAGCACAACGGCGGCAATCTCAACCTCGACTTCGGTTCCAGGCTACGAGAATTACTCTCAATACCCCAGCACTCGGACTGAGACATCCAGTAACCGTGTCGCATACGAGCCATATGCCCACAACCCAGCCCAAGCTGTCTCGAACTCGTATACGTCCTATGACAATGCCTACAATACAAGGTCTTCCACTGCCAACTCATCAGCGGCACTCTCCAACACTACTTCCCCCAGACCGTGTCTTCTTATAGCTCGAGCACCCCATCAACTGCTGCACCTAGCGGAACGCAGTGGGGCACGACTCCATCTACTTCCTAGTCCCGAAACTCACACTCCTACAACTCAAACCAATCCTCATCTACTGCGACGTCATATAATCTCTCCTCATCGAACAATCAGCAGCAGTCGCAATCTCTGCAGCAATTGAACGTGCGACCGCCACCTCCACCAGCGCCTCAGACAAGAAGCTCGGCAACTAGCACGTCGTACGGCCAGCTGCCCCAACAACAACAGCCACAACGTAGGCAGCAGCAGAAGCAGCAGCAAAATTATAGCGGGTACACGAATCAAGCCCAGCAGCCGCAGCAGCAGCAGCAAAACACTGCTGGCGCCAATGGCCACTAGGGCTGGTACACAGGCGGCTTTACGGCCGCTGATAACGCGCCGTCTAGTTACGGCTCGTCTAGTGGGGGCGGTGTTGGTGCTGGTGGTAACAACGCCTACTTCAACCCGGCCGCATCCCATGCCCACGGCGGCCACCAAACACGGTCCATGAATCTTTCGAGTCAAACCTACAGCAGCGGCATAGACAACGGAGAGCAGGCTTTATATGATCTGTTGAGACACCCCACAGGTTGAAGGCGCGGGGGGAGATGATTGGGACGGTTTTCCGGGGGGGGGGGGGGGGGGGGGGGTTTAACCCCCAAATTTTTATTTCGGCTGGCGTGGGTTGGTTTGCTTCGGGGATGATTATAGGATTATGGAGTCCTATTCTCTTTCATTCATCGTCCTCTTGAATCCCAAATATCCGGGAAATTCTTCGCCATCGGCGGCGTCTGGCAAGGGTGCTTTTTACTACACGGGGCTATTTACTTCCTAGTTTCTGGGAGTATTTCTTGTTGTGGATTCATCTGAGCACTTTTTGGAGGGGGGGGAGGCTGATTGATGGCCACGAAGGAGCGAAGTATATTAATGATTGATTACTATGGGATGGCGATGTGGCAAGCACACACATACACAGCCTTTGGCGGTGAGTATGCCGTCTGAAGTGCGCGGTCTAGGGGAGAGGCGGCGAAATCACCATCAGATAGATAGATGGGTCTAATTGAGGGAACCAAAAGAGACATTTGTCAACTATCCCATTTGATTCACTGAGTGAATTGGACGAGGATCTTGATAAGGGAGTGGATATCTACTTCACGATACGTCAGCATATAGTTCAGGAAACCTATTGCCTATTGATAAAATCGGCGAGCGAACTGACGAGGGGGGGGGATGGCTCCGTATAAAATCGATGGACTTCTCAGCACCATGTATATATCTCTCCCTCTCTTTACTAACCTTGGAACTATACGTATCCTTAAAAGGGATGACTGATGGGTTCAACCCTAACTCTTCTCTGGAAAGTTAAACGACCGCCCGCCCCTTTTCCATTTTCTTACCCCCCTGAAGCTAAGCTAAGGGAAAAGGGCCACCATACATAACCCTGCCCTACCGTGCGCCCCACCTCACCCGCCACCATAAGCTGGCATTGCGGCGACAGAAACAACTCAACTAATTGCAAGGTTGTGTAGTGTAGTGGTTATCACTTTGGATTTTGATTTGAGCGGCTTAATTCACCGTTCTCATAACTATTCCAATAACCCCGGTTCGAACCCGGGCACGACCTAGATTATTTTCTTTTTTAAAAAGGGCATTTTTTTTCATTATCCCCTTTGCTTTTTCCTCTTTCATCCGTAAATACTCTAAGCTTTTGGATGAACTGAATAGAATTTTTTGGTAATTTTTTCATCGCCCTGTCCTTTTCCCTCGTCTAGATAGCTCAGAAGTCGTTTTAAGGCATCTTCGCCATTCAGTGATAAAGCAAAAGGGATGAGGTTTATACATAAGGAATAGCAGTGTTCGAAGCCGACTGTTGTCCCAAGTTGAGCTATGAATTCAAGTAGTGTGTTTTTTGCCTTTCTCTTTTTTTAAAACGATCGTGATTACGGAAGATCATACTGTCACCGTGCTGACGCATCAACCGCTCTGATATGAGAATTCAACGCGACTGGAACATAATCTGAATGGAAATCCCCTAATAAATCAAGGCTCTAGAATGGAATCAGTGATTTTCACTTGCTGGTTAATCACATCCTCATGAGTTGATGGGCCTGTTCAGCAATTTCATTCAACCTATAAACTCGCTCGCAAACCAGGCAGGCACCTACAACGCTGTGGTGGTATCTAATGCATTTGTTTTCTTTGACGAAAAATCCCATCCCAATGCACCAACCAACTTCTAAAAGCAACAACAAAATATCGCCTCCTTCCCTTCATAACGCGTCGGGGAACTTCTCTGCAACAGGTGTCGTTGGACCTCTCGACTCTGACATGCTATAGGGTGCCTGTGCAGTCCTCGTTAGTTTCAAGTTCACGTCCTTCAGTCAAATACAGACACTTACAAGAACCTGTTTAGCATTGCATATCCTCCAAGCAAGTTTCTTGACGGTTCCATCCGCAGGCACAACAGCAGGCGCAAACTCGATGCCAAACATGTGGTGAATGGCGTAGACCACTCTCCGAGCATATTTGCTATCACGTTCCACGTGTGACCCAAATGGCTCGTCTGCTGTGTTCGGGGCAATTTCCGGATCACGGTCGAGACAGTTTTGGACGATCGGTAGAAGCGCTGACTCGACCGCTGGTTCACTGACGCTGTTGAAACTGACGACGTCATCCTCGTCAAACTTGCTGATCCGAACCTCGAACGGCTCCGAGATAGACATGACGTTGTGAGCGCCGCCGTGATGATAACGGAACTCGAACATACCCTGTGTCCACCATAGCTTGTCGCCTTCAAAGACCATTTCGCCTTGCACAAGATCCACATCTGCCCCAGCGACAGACCGATCGGTGAAGAGAATGCCCTGGTCAGTAGTGGTATCGTATTGGCCTGCGCATGTTGGCACCCAGCGACCGAGAGAAGGAACTTCGGTGACTTCTCTTGAGCGGTTGTCTGTCACCATGTAGAGACCCACCCAGTCCTTTTTGCTGTGATTTTTCGGTGCCGTCCATTTGACGACGATAGGAGCCCCGTACTCAAAAACCATTGTCTTGACAGCTTTGGGAACACGTGCTTCGGCGCTCTCCTTTCCAGTGGCTTTCTCACTTGGGCCAACCACAGATGTACCGGCCATGGATAGCTTGTAGTGTTTGGGGTCATAACCAGCGAGGTCGGGCGATATCCGACTGAGAGTGAGGCGAGCAGGATACTTATTGAACAGGGCAGATGTGTCCCGGGCGATAGTCGAAGAGCCAGCTGCTAGCTTGGCGCGAGCAGCTTCGACAAAATCATCAACAAAGTGCCTAGTCTCGTCAAGAACCTTATCGACGCTCGTCTGCCACTCCTTTACCGGTGGCGGCAACGAGCGTTTGATAAATTTGGTCAGGCCGGCTTCCTCGCGCAGATTTCGGCCATAAACCTTCTGCATGTGCGGTTTCTCGACATAAGAAATGAATCCCAGAGTCAAAATATGTCCGACAATGGCCATGACAAAGATGGCCCGGCTCCCAGTGATGAGTGCCGCACCCCATAGACCGGCGGTGCCAATGACACGCTCGGGGTTATTGAGGAATCGGTAGATGGACTTGTACGTCAGTCTGCCCCTGCTGTCGAGGAAGAAGTCGCCGTAAAACCAGCCAAACTCGCCAAGCGATTCGTAGATACTTGTTGCTACCCAAATCTGAAGGGCAACCAGGCTCACGCCTATGACGTGCTTCAAAAGTACCCAGCCATAGCTCCAGTCTTCCGGGAAGTTGTACATCTTCCAGCACGCGGCGATGAAGGATGCGTGGCATAGAACGTTGCTCAGATGATACATGCCCTTCCACTGACGCCATGCCTCTTCAGCTGTCTCGCCGTACTTGACGAAATGTCTCGTGAAGAACTTCTCCTTGGATTGCAATGTCAAAATGATGCCCAGCCCGGCCGAATACCACAAGCGCCAAAGGAGCGCGTGCAGCACAAAGAGGGCTTGATACCCAGGGTTGCTTGGTGTCACGATTGTTAAAACCACTAGGTAGGCCACGACAAGCAGAACGGATGAATCTGTTGTTCGGAATAGATCGAGGTTCTGGAGACCCAAAAGGTTGTGTACAGGCGCCGGACCATCTCTGCTCAGTGTCGAGGAGCCTGGCGTGTCGACAATACTGTCGGGCGCTAAGCTACTCGTCTCCGACAGGCAGGATTCGGCTCGCAAGCGAGGTGGCGGAGGATTATAGGTCTTCTCGATATGAGGATTCTCAACGATGACCAAGAAGGCGAACTGAGCAGCGTGTGCGAGGATGGATATGAAGAGCACTTCGTAGCTTGCAGCCATCATGGAGATACCATAGTACCCTGCATAACCGATGGAATACATGGGATGAGGAGCCATCTCGAACACGCCGTCAAATGTCAGCTCCTGCTCGATGAGGTAGAAAAAGTCTATCACTCGTCAGTCTCAGTAAAAAAAAAATTGGCACTTGACGAAGGACTATCAGCTTACCGCCCCAATACCAGGCATAGTCCTTTACAACGCGGTGAGCGTCAAGTTTGACCCAGAGATTGAAGCCCACGAGGGCAATGCCAGCGCCCCAGCGGGCCAATGTCATGGCGAGCGCCTCGCCTGTCGGTTTGTGGCCGCAAACTATGGCGAAGAGGCAGTACGATACAAAGTCACACATGAGAATCAGATCCACCACGCGACGGAACACAAGCCAGGTGTTGTACTCAAGCGGAGCATCGTCAAACTTGTAGTCTTCGGGGATTTTGGCCTCGAGCTCGCCCTTGAGCAAGTCATGCAGCCATGCGGGATTCTTGCCATCTGCCGGGTCTTCAAAGAGCCCCCACCTCCGAGCCCAAGTCACCAACAACTTGTACTTGGACTGCACCGTCAACAGGTATCCAATGCCCACATTGTAGGACGCTCTCCAGAATAGAAAGACGGCTGCAAAGACCGGCCGCTTGAGGCTTGAAGGGAGCGCAAAGGCGGCCAGAATGTGGAGGGCGAGAATGGCAAGCACCAAGACATCAGACAGGTTCTTTGGCTCGCGAGGGTCGAGGAGCTGCGATACCATGTCATGAGTCGTTGGAACGACAAACACTGCAGCATTAGAAAAAATTGGTCAGCTCGGGTCCAACATGAGGGGCTTATCTTTGTTTTGACTAGAGATTTCCATACCCTTCCCGCCTGGGGTGCGCCCGTATGTCTTCTTGACGTGGGGCTCCCCATCCTCGTGCTCTCCTGGAGCGCTTGGGGCGACCGCCGCCGGCACCGCCTCTTCCTCGTCTGATGTCGCCAGCGCGGTGAGGCGTTGGCGAACCTTGTCGAGCCCAGCGGCGGGCATGTCTGCCCCCGAAGTGCTCATCCTTCTCTTCTCGGTGTTGAAATCCGGGTTGGGATATCCTAGCCAAAAAAATCGCAAGGAAAAAGAAGCTTTCTTGATGTTCAGACCATCACCCAAGGGTCCAGAAATGGACTCGGCGAGGGGTAGTGGCCAAAATTGGGGGTGATCTTGTGACCGTTAGAAAGCCGACCAACGGAATCTCGCAATGCCAAGGTGGCTAAGGTGTTTCTGTGCCGTGTCAGTGTATTTTATCCTTGTTGACTGGTGCGTTTCCGAAAACAAAAGTTTCCCAATGCACCTTGGGTCGGATCGAGGACCGATGTCACGTTTCGAACGCTGATGTTGTTAGATGTTGCACTGCTGACTCGAGGATGAAATCGGAGCAGGGTTGCTCGATCCGGTGTTCCCTCTTTGACTGAATTGTTGCGTAGGGAGAAGCTGGAGAAGTGGACCAGGACTCCATGTTTTATTTTGTTCACATCACATGCGAATACACAGGCATTTTGTGGGCGTTCGCTATTTTTTTCTGGGGTCGCCCCAGTTTTCGGCCAGTCGGCGTGCAGCGGAGAGCAAAATATTGACCCGCCTGTATGCGGCGCATTTTAACGAACAGTGTGTGTGTCTCGAAACATCCATTGATTGGAGCTTGGCTGAAGAAATGCCCAAATGGGTAGGCGGTGTGGGTGGCTTCGAGACCATTCTATGTAACTTATGGTGCAGCCTCCCTGAGCCGCAATCGTACATGTTGACGTCGTTTGGCTGGCTTGGACCCTGATTCCCGGCCATTGGAAATCTGGGTGGGTGTGGGAAGGGAGATGCAGGTACCGACCGTACTGGACCGAAAATCCCAAAGGCCTGAGGCAGCGCTGGCAATCAGCCTGCTTATCTGGCTGTTGAAGAAGGTGCGATTATTGCCGATCGTCCTTGCGTACAGAACCTTCCCGTAGCATTCTGGAACGGCGCGGTTTGATTGGGTTTTCATGCTTCATGGCTTCAACATCGACCCTCCCGTCGCTAGTGGTGCTGGTAAGAGCAGAGGCCGACGACACTGCGACCTTATCCCCAGGGGTGGTGCGCAGCGCATGAATTCCGGAAATATCATGTCCTTGCAGTCCTAGGAGGAACACGTATGGTCGGGTATACTTTTCTTGTATAAGTCAGACTTGTGGCTGTCCTTTGCTTCGTTCTGTTTCTCGTTTTTATGTGGTTTTTGTTTCTCGCCCATCATCATTCTCGCTAAGTCCACGTCTATTGTGCTCTCTCTTTTGTCCCTGCCCACTTATATCGCTCCGTATACTT